CCAATAAAAATAACAGCAATTCGCCACTAAATCTTTAATTGTCACCGGGCTCGGCTTTGAAGACCAGCTTTGAAGACCAAATTTTCACCCGATCACCGCCTGTGCGGCATGATCTCCTCGACCAGTCGACCTCAATCATCCTGTTAAACCTTCGCTAATCCATACAAGTATGATTTGGCGGCGGTGCAAATCGTCACAGCGCATTCGCTGAAAAATTAAGTAAATAATAAGTGACACCAATACATTTACGTGCTCGTGCCCAACCATCAGCTATAATTACTCAATTGCATAATGAAAATGTCATAACTCGCACAAACACGTTATAACACCCCTTTCAAGCTATCCTGTGCACGGAGGCATACTCTAGTACATTTTAGTCTTACTTACATATCAAGGGATGCCACCCTCGGCTTTACACTCTTATCTATCGTTCACCAAATCTAGTGCCGACCTTATAGACATTGGCCTTAAACACGCTACAAACACTTTATGTATGCCAACACATGCCTCACTAGAATACACGCACTAGGACCTTGCTCGCTACCTCGCTCGTTTGGTCTCTTGTTGCCCTCGTGTTTGGTGCTCTCGCTCACTCTTTCTCACTCATTGAACTGAGTTCTCTCATCAGGACTCCGGCTCCTAGAGCTCTTGGCCTACTCTAGTGCCCACAACCATCTCGTAGATCACTCGGCTTTTCTCTCACCAGTTCAGCTTTTTTGGCCTCGCACGCCTCTGCACGCGAATGGTCGTCTCGCCTATTTAAAGGCCTCGACAACGCAGCCCTTAACTCTAGTTGTTGGGTAACTGTTTAGCAACTGTCTGGCATTTGCACTAACTGCCCAACGATGACACGCCCACGTCTCTTCAACGCCAACTCAGCCCTTGCAGCGTACGAGTGTCAACCACCCGTGCATATCTCGTCCGAACTTCCCACGCAGGTCAACAACCTTCTCGGCCGCGTGTCCCTAGTAACTGTCTAGCCATGTTCCTTGTTTGGTCTCCTTTGATAACAATTGGTCGCGCCATCTCGAAGAGATAAGACCATCTAGGCCACCTTGAACTAAGTAACCGTCTGGTCCACGTGCTGCCCACATGCGCCACTCAAATCCCAACCGATCCCGCCAACGGCATAGACGCCGTGCGTGCACTCGCACACGCCCAGCGAAATGCATCGTCCGAAGATCATATGATGTTAATTAAAGTTAATTTTAATATATTTACATTGTTATTCGATGTTAATTAATTTTAGTATTAATTAAAGTTAGTTTTGTACATTACTTATATTACAATAACAAATTTATTTAATATTTATTAAAACCGATAAAATAGACGGTAAAACCGATTGAATTGTGTACAGTTGGCTCGTCCGATATGGTTAACGGTACGGTATTTAAAACACTGAGTCATCCAATAACCAAATTTTGTCCAACTTAATTAACAGAGAATTATCTATATATATGCTTTTCATTGTTCAACATTTTTATTCTATATACATATAATTTTTTTTTTTATTTCTATAACTACATTTTTACAAAGTATACCCATAAAACTCATATCCTTTTGCCACACTTGTTATATTTTCTTGATTTAGAAAAAAAATGTTATATTTTATTTTAATAAATGAGTGTAGGAATGTGTTACTAATTAATTAATAAATCTTACATGAAGGGTGATTTAACTAAAATGATACCTATTTTGTGTTACATAAAAAAATTACCAAAAGTGTTACCTGCGAAGTATTACCTTTTACCTATTTTGTGTTACATAAAAAAATTACCAAAAGTGTTACCTGCGAAGTATTACCTTTTAAAAAAAGTACATACGAGTGTTGCATATTCATAAAATGCTACAAAATTGTTACATAAATATTGCAGCGTATAAGTTGTTACAAATATGTGTTACATTAAAATCTCTTATCTAAAATGTGTTACAACTTAGTGTTACGTAAGGTCACTTATTTTGTATACATTTTGAAAAATATTGTATTACAAGACAACAAATTCAACTCTATTTGAAACTTCTCTCTCAAACATTTGTACAATTCCACACCCTAATAATATGTATGGGTTATTGTCTAACACAATATAATCAATAGTTTCGTTCACTACAACAAAATGATGAAATTCCAACGGAAAGTTCCAATACAATTATCTATCATTACATAAAAAGAATAACTTTTTTACAAATTTAGAAACTTTTTTCCACCAAAACCATTAAATATATCCTAATATAGTAATTGTTGGACAAATCTAAATAGACAAAAAAATCGGCTCATTTTTTTTTAGTTTATCAAAATCGTTGTTTGACAATAAATATTTGTTTTTCTTTTTCCTATTTTTAGTATAAATCTACACGCTTATCTCTTCTCTTACAAAATCCCATTGCATGTGTTTAAAAAAATTCATCCCTTATCTATACAGATTTAAAAAAATAAAATAAAATAGAAACCAATTCATAATTACTACTAGAAATCCATTATCTTTAAAAAGAAAAAAATAGAAACCAATTCATAATTACTACTGAAAATCCATTAGCTACTTTAAGAAGCTAATTTTTATCGGTCTAATTACTAATATTCTTACAAATATTATAAGCTAACCATACAAAAAAGTATAATAATAATTTTGAAATGGTGTGTAATCAAATTTTTTAATATTATCTTATACAAAATAATTTTACATTGTTTGACCTCAAATCTTTAATTTATAATTATTAAGTATTGTTTATATTCCTCTTTAACTTATAACTATTTTTTTTGCTTCCTCTTTTTAAATAGGATCAATAGTAGTTTCCACTTCGGTCATTGAGTGACTCAAACTCTAGGTCTATTTATAATATTATTAATTTAGTATTGTTTCCGTGCATCGCACGGGGTATACACTAGTTTTTAATGGAATTCCAATGGAAATTCCAACTAAAATATTCCGTTGGAATGAGTTTTTTATTGGAATTTCTGTTGAATTTTAACGATCCAACGGTAGATTCGTGGAGATAAAAATTCCACCAGAAATTACATATTCCAACGAAAATTCCTACGGTAAAAAGCCGTTGGAAAAATAGCCGTTATAATTATCAAATTCCATATAAAATTCCAATGGAAAAGTCGTTACAACGTAATATTTTTGTTGGAATCATTTCAACGGAAACTATACCATTGGAATATCCGTTGGAATATATTATCATAAGATTTTTCGTTGGAATATAACAAATTTTTTGTAGTGGTTAGCCAATCTAACAATTAAAGAATTATATCTTTTCACAATATGCAATATACTTCCATGTAGAAACTAATGCCATACTTTAAAAATTATATAAAATTAAAAGTAATTATATTTTTTTCAACAAATATACAATATCCTTTCACTCATAAATATCATATTTTAAAAAATCATATAAAAAATAAAAGTATAACATATAATCACGTAAGTATACCTATACATTTTTATTAATAAAATATTGTTGTCTAGTTGTTACACCTCAAATTTGCATTGTACACTAATTATGAGTTGGGGTCGAGAGCCCATCACCAGAATATTTAATACAACATTTACAACATAAATTTTCTAACTCCTACCTCGCTTCTCAACTGCATAAAATCAAGTTGAAAGAAAACAATCTAGGCAGTAGATCATACTTCTCCTTCTATCTTCATTGTTTTCTACCTTTTTTATATTATATTTTTTTTTTTTCCTAATCTTTTCCAATTATTTAATTAACTAACCACATAATATCATCATGTCTCCAATCAGCACAAATGACCTCCACAGGATCTTCACAAACCTCGACAAAGACAACAAAGGCCTAATAGGCATTCACGAGCTTCACAATCTCCTCGACATGATCGAAATCCAAACAAGCCTAAACGAGCTCGAAAAGCTCGTGGGTCACACGAGTCTTGGCTATATCGAGTTCTTGTTCTTTTATGAGATAATGATTGCAAGAGCCAAAGATTTAGGAAAAGACGAAATCGAAGACGATCTTTTGAAGGCATTTAAGGTTTTCGACACGAATGGAGATGGATTCATATCGTCTGAGGAACTCGAAAGCGTACTCACGAGAATGGGATTGTGGGACAAGAAAAGTGGAAGGGACTGTAAGGAGATGATCGATGCGTACGATGAGAATTCTGATGGAATGTTGGATTTTGAGGAGTTTAAGAATATGATGTTTGTTTCTCATGATTGTAAAGTGTAGGTATGATTTGATTAGTTTGAGATATAGTGTTGACAAATTTTACTTGCAATTATTTATTGANTAAATATATTTGAGGTTCTGAATGAGAAATATAAAAAATAAAATATTTCCACAAGGTACAAAGTAGGAGAATTAATTCATGTTAGTGACTCTAGTTTAATTTACTGAAGTTTTAAGTCAAACTCCCAACACATGATATGTTACTCCTCATTTCATCAATTTTTAAATAATTTTCTCAGTTTGCAGCATGTGGTAGGTGTATGTTTTAGTCTCCAGGGGATAAACAGCTAGGCAAATTACTAAGGCAGCAAATGAGTTAGCTGGAAATTAAAACAAATGAAATCAATATCCCCTCCTCATCAATTAATTGAAAAAAAAAAATATATAATAATAAAAGCACAATTGTTGTGTTCTCAAATGAGTTAGCTGGAAATTAAAACAAATGAAATCAATTTCCCCTCCTCATCAATTAATTGAAAAAATAATAATAATAATAATAAAAGCACAAGTAATGTTTTCTCGGCACCCGACGTGAATGTGCAACTTTATGTTAATTGGCTATTAATATATGTTAGCTGTTAAAAGGACCGGTCAATGTATCAGGAATACAAATTTTGATATTAGATCTAACATCTTCACTGTTTGTTTAGATTATTTCATAAAGTACACATTTGAGTATGGATGTATAAATATTTGTAAAGTGTGTGTGGAGTGCACAAGTGCGGTTTTATGCAGAAACACAAAATAAAATGCGGAAACGATTTAAATAAAATCATTGGATATATTCATTTTTTAGTTTTATTGGAGTCGCTATTAGACATCTCTAGCTAGAGAGTGCAATTTACGAAACATAAACAAATGTCAGGCAAGATATTCGTAAATTCAAAAGACAGATGGGTTATCTCATATAAACTAGGACCAAACTTCCAGAGTGCATTTTCATAATCAGCCCCTGAAGTGAAGAATAAATAATTGGTAGCCAAATTTTGAAAGAAACACCAAAGGATGATTTAAACACAGCCAAATGTATCACATAATTTGCTCCAAATAAAGCGCAATCCCAAAAACGTCTACACAGTCGATAATCTTAAACAAGATCCAGATAACCGACTTTCCAAACAATGCCTTCCTAGAAAATCCAACCTTCTGAAAAATACAGCCACCCTACTTTTTCTGGCCCGGTTCTTTACCTGCAGCCGTATTCACCTGCCTTGACAGGTAAGCCTCGTAAATCTCCACCACGACACGTGGATCCTTCTCCACAAGCTCCACATACTCCTCTTGCTTGCTCAGCTTATTCATATTGTCCATAATCAAAGACAAGGCCGCCTCTTGTAAGTCCTTTGCTCCGTGCTGGTGGGCAAAAGCGTAATATGGGAGGGAGTTCTCCCAGTTCAGCCTGGATATGAGAAATTTTCCACAATACGTCTTGAGATGCTTCACCTGGTATTTTTCAGCCAACACCAAGAGGTCACAAGCCATTTGCTCATCCAGACAAGCTTCGGCAGTGTACAGATAGTTGACAAATGCACGGAGGGCATCGTAAGACACATCGCTAATCTTGATTGTTCCGCTTAGGCTTTCTTCCATTTCATTCTCGAGCATGGCCTTGAAAACAGGGGACCTGCTTGACTGCATGGAAAATGCAAGATTATTGCTACAATAGTAACGTTAGGCCACATATTGAAAACTTTTGCTAAAGGATGTACTGTACCAGGATTTCAACCCACTTATTCAAGAAAGAATGAAGCAACTGGGAAGATTTTTTGGGCGGAAGTTTATCCTTTTATTATAAATGGACACAAGTAGCGACACTTCAAGAATGAGCTATGATTTGATATAGTGATGATTGAAAAACTTGCCACGGGGGTTTTAATATAATCCTGAAATGTTCGGTTTTGTTCAGAAGTAAACAAACCGTCCTCAAACTTGCTATAAAGAGAGACTGTCTTGAGGGTTTTATTCATCAAAACAATTTCAGATGCAATAGTTAACTTGCATGGTGTCAAGGAAGTCCACAGAGTACAGAAAGTAAGAAAAAAAAATGTCAATGTAGTTGGTGCTTTTTGCAGTTGGACAGACCCTTAGGGTTAGACTTTGCAAAAAAAAAAAAAAAACTCTTTGGAATGTCCACAGAGATTACGGAATTATGCTTGACAAACAAACTATTATGCTTCTTTTTTCTGGTAAGTATGTAAGAGATGCTTGTCCAAGAAGCATCATGCTTCTTTTTGTGGTAGTTTAGCACGTCCAAGGACCAAGGTACATCTTTATCACTTCGACTATAAAGTGAGTTTTAAGACTTGACAGGAAAATATGTAGATTCCTTATTTTAGAACAAGTGTCGCATAGATCAAAATTGCATTAATTGATACAACAAAAAAAAGTATGTTTCGTTAGCACCAGGTTCCCAAACTTCATAGACCGCCTAATACATAGCTCCGTCTACCAATGAGTTTTACAATTAGATAACACTGAAATAAAACTGAGTTTGGAAGGATTTGAGATCAAAACACGTCGAATTGAGAGAAATCATAAGATACAATCAGAAATTGGTGAAAAGGAGCACAATACCAATACAGCACGATGAGCCCTAATTGAAGGCGAACTGCACTGCGAATCGGATGAGTTCGGCGACCCGGATGCCACCAGAACGACGTCAGAGAAACAAGGCGTGTTCGGCCGGATGATCGAATTGGGGCCGACGGGCCCGGGGCCGACGGACAGCAGCCGGAGGAAGTTGACCTTGGACTTTAGGTCTTCGATCTCACGCTTTAGTTCCTCCTCTGTCTCGCCGGCCTCCTCGTAGCACTCGCGGCACGTGCCGGCGTCACGATCGCCGTCGTAGTCCTCCTTGCACGAGAGGCACTTCATCTTCATCCCCCGGCGGCGGCGGCGCCCCGAGGCGGATCCTTCCTCCGCATCATCTTCTTCCTCTTCCTCGCCTTCTCCGAAATCCGGATCGGAATCTGAATCGGAATTCGAAACTGGCGAGAAGTTTCGCCTCCTATGCTGGTGGCGACGCATGCTTCCGGCGGCTGATTTTTTGCCCTTTCCTCAGTTTTGTTCTTTGTTTATTAATTTGTTTATTCTCTGTAATG